CCGGGGGCACGATGGACGGCAGGGCTGGGGCTGTGCACTGGCGATTCTGGGCTGGACATCCTGGCCCCCACCCCTTCCCCCGAGGCCCGGCCCCCGTCCTCCGTCCCGAGTGCTGCGGACACACTCCCCACCGGAGTCCCGGGCGCGTGTTCGTGCGCCCCTCTCCAGGGCCCGGCGTTTGTGCGTGGGGAACCGCTGCAGACGAGGTGGCACCAGGCCCCCGGGGCAGAGGCTCCCGTGCTCCTGGTGCTCCAGCACCGTGTCTCCAGAGGACACGGCCACGCCTGAGTTATCACTGTTTACAGAGGATTATTTGGAAACTTGCAGTGGATGGAGAAACACAGTGAGCTCTCACCCAAACAGTGGAGAGGCCTAAACACAGCCCGGGGCCACTGTCACTCGGGCTGTGACAGGCAGCATAAAGCAGGATGTGGGCACCAGAGCTTTGCCTGCGGGTCCGGGGCGCTTGCTTCCCTGGGTGACATTGACCGAGTCCAAACAGCCGGACAGAAGTTCTCCCGTGGCCGAGGCGGCTGGTTTGGGTCCTTCTGAACCACTTCTGAAGGGGACGGGCCAGACATCCCGTCTCTGGCATCACTTTGGAGCCAGGAAAACACGCTCGTGTGCACCGGGACGTGCTTTCTGCAGCCTGGGCGGTCTTTGTTCTTGTGTTCTGTTCACATCACTCACGCCTCCCTTGTGTTCTTCGTGGTACACGGACGTGCGCTTCTGTGCACGCCCGCGGCCAGTGCACGGCCGAGGGGCTGCCTTCTGCTCTTCGGACATTGCCAGCCGGAGGTGTAACACATCCCCCTCCCACATCCGCGTCCCCTCTGTGCTTCTGAAAGTTTGACATTTGTCCGAGTAAGTCGTTTAAAGAAGTAGAAATCCAGAAATGTTGAAAGCACTGATGCGGTCTGCTTTCCTTCTTACTGGAGGCGACCCTGTGGCCCGTGTCCTGGGGCTCCCTGCGTAAATCCCGGGAATGCCCTCCACCCGCCAGGGTTTCCAAGATGCAGCACCGCGGGTTGCTGGAGCTGGGGAGGTGGGGGGTCCATGTGGGACCCTGTCAGTTCCACGCCGCCACTTCCCAGCACTGGAAGGAGGCCGGGTGCGTGGGGCCACATGCAGGGCTGGCTGCTGGGTGCCTCCTCCCAGGCCCGTCCTGCTCAGGGCGGCCTCGCTCTGAGAACTGGCGCGGCCTGTTTGCTTCTGCAGCTTCGCAGGGGTGGGGGCAGGCCGCCTGGGCTGCGGCTTCAAGTATGTTGCAAACGTGAGCCGGCAACAAGGGGTACAGAAGCCGTGCTGGGTCGTGAGGCTGGCGAAGACGGGGGTGCGATGTGCCCCGGCTGGCTTCATCCCCAGGGGACCCTGAGACACGCTTGGGCATCTTAGCAGGGCCGTGTGGGGGGTATCTGGAGCCGGCAGAAACAGTCACGGGAGCTCCTGATGGCGGGGCTCATTCTAAGTGCTTCACGAGTGGTTACATGCCCTGTGGCCTGTGAGCATGCCGCCTGCCCATTCTCCGGATGGGTTAAGTCCTCGGAGAGTCTGCCCCTGGGGTCTCTCCAGGCAAGTTGAGGAGTGGCACCGGGTTCCTGGGTTGCCATCAGAGAAGCAGTTGTCACAGGGCAACCCCCCCCCCCCACCGTGATGAAGTCCCACGTGTGCGGCTCCCCACAGCGGGTGCAGGGGCGGGCTGGTGCACCCAGACGGTGCAGGGGCAGGAATCCGTGGCCTTCTGGGGATGGTGGCCAAACGGAGAGCATGTGGTCTGACCAGGGTGGAAATGGCCTGAGCTCTTGCTTTGTGAGAACACAGACCCCATGTAGCTAGAGCTAACCTTTTTTTTTTTTTTTTTTAAAGAAAAGCCAAAAACTTTGGTTTTTATAACTCTGTCAATTTTTAAACGTTGGGAGCTAACTTTGAACGTGCAGCTAACATTGGCACGTGAAGAAACAGTTAAGTGTGGAACGATCAATAAACACTAAGGAGGTTAAATGGTAACCAAGGGCCTGCCCCCTCCGGAGAGGCCAGGCCCCGACGGCTTTACGGGAGAGTCCTGTCCAACGTCAACAGATCGTTCTCCTTTTACCAGTGGCTGCAGAGAACGGAAAATCAGGAGAGCCGCCCGGCTCATTGTACGAGGACAGTATAATCTGCATCCCAGCACGTGGTACGGGCAGTATGAGAAAACGAATAAGAAGTCGTATAAAAACTATAGGTGTAGGGGCACCTGGGTGGCTCAGTCGGTTAAGCGTCCAAGTTCAGCTCAGGTCATGATCTCATGGGTCATGAGTTCGAGCCCCGCGTCGGGCTCTGCTGACCGCTCCGAGCCTGGAGCTGCTTCGGATTCTGTGTCTCCCTCTCTCTGCCCCTCCCCCACTCGTGCTCTGTCTCTCTCTAAAAAATAAATAAACGTTAAAAAAAAAATTATAGGTGTAGTATATGTTCTGTGAACGTGGATGCAAAAACCCTAAGCAGCCAAACAGATCCAACTTGATTTTTGAAAACCACGCATCCAGATCAGGTAGGGTTTATCTGGTTTTCAAAAACGGTTTGAGCTGAGAACACTGTCCGTGTGTTGCCACACTGACAGATCCCAGGAAAAAGATCTGTGTGGTAGATCACGTAGGTGTGGGGAAAAGAGTTTCATACAGCGCAGCACCTATTACAAAAATTCTTAGCAAACTAGTCCCAGGAGGAAAATGTTTTAATTTAGTAAAGGTCACACGTGCCCATCGCAGACAAGCATCCTGACGTTAAGGGACTTTGCTTATGTGCCGGATCACCTGGTTTGCAGTCTTGCACTCCCACTTTCTGGCTGTGTGACCCCAAGCAAGTTCCTTACCCTCTCTGTGCCCCAGTCCTCCTCTCACCACAACGGGGATGACGGTGATAAATGTCACAAGGTTGTAGTGAGAAGTGCCTGAGATGAGATTTCACCCCAGCAGAGTGAATGCGCCCTCTTCCTCCTGGGAGAGACAGAGGGGGTTCCTGTCCACACCCCCAGGGGTCAGCGCCCAGGGGTTTTCTGCTCGGATAGAGGAGGAGATGGGGGCTGGCCTGAGGTGACAGTGACGTGACAAAGGGACTCCTCACACCCGGGAAGTGTCTGGTGGCCCCCAGCCGGCTTGGTTTCATCCTGCAAAGTCTTATTCTCAGGGTCGAGACAAGTAACTCAGCAGGAGGTCATGTTCTACATACTGACTTGCGTTTGGGCTGTTTGGACTGTGTATGGGGTTTAGACTGAAAACAGACAAAAACCCGAGGTTTTCTATGTCGTGGGGCTTAGCTGTGGCACGTTTACACGGCTTTATTTGGTGGGGATGAGCTCCCGAGATGGGCCAGGGGCTCTTCCCTGAAATACCTTAAGTCGGGGTTCATTGGTGGCATTCTGACCTCAAGGCTGGGACCTCATTTTGAATTTGTCTTTCAAAACATGACTTCACGTGAACACCCTTCCCCCGCAAGAGAGTCAGGTTTGGGGGTAGGGTCACTCCCCTGCAAGGGAGTCAGGAGTGAGGGGGAGGGTCACCCCCCCCAGGGTGTTAGGCATCGGGGGGAGGGTCACCCCCCCCAGGGAGTCAGGCGTCGGGGGGAGGGTCACCCCACCCCCCAGGGCGTCAGGCGTGACGGGTGGTCTAGGCTTTGAAGTTGATGCCCGCTGATGCCCTGTGGCCTTGTCGCTGGAACCAGGGAGAGTGCAGCTCTCAGGATGTGGCTCTCTCCGGGGCTCAGTTTTCCCGCCTGGGAACTGGGCACCCGGTGGGATCCAGGTGGCAGCCAGGTGTGCCTGGAAGGGCAAGTGTGACTGTAGGCAGGGGGGGTGATGCCCTGTGGTCCGTGCAGAGTTCTGGCTGGCATCCAGCCTTCCTGCCCTGGGAACATCTCCAGGAGGCCAGACCTCGGAGTGGACCCACCCCACGAGTCGGGGCCTGGCGCCTGGCCAGAGACAGCAGACTCCCCCGCCCTGGTTGTTCTTCTGTGCGTCCTCTGCAGCATGAGTGAGTGGGACCTTGACGGGGTGGTCAGCCTTACTGCATCCCAAACCAGCTGCGTGACTGTGGGTGAGTCACTTAGCCTTTCTGAACCTTGATATTCCTGTCGGTAGAGTGGGGACAGTGATGGGAGCCAATGTCTTTCCATGCTTGTGAGGTTCAAATGGGAGAAGCTTAACGAGGCTTTGTTTTGGGTCGAGGGTACTGGGCTCCATAGCCACCATTTTCAGTGAATGGCCTCAGGAAGCAGGGACTTTTGTTGCAAGACCCACACCATGTTCTAGTTGATCTCCTAGCTCGTTCTCCATCTATCTTTCCTTCCTTCCATCCATCCATCCACCCCCCCCATTCACCACCCACCTACCCACCCACCCATCCATCCACCCACCCATCCACCCACCCATCTGTCCATCCATCCGTCCATCCATCCATCCACCCACCCATCCACCCACCCATCTGTCCATCTATCCATCCATCCATCCATCCATCCATCCATCCATCCATCCACCTACCCATCTACCCCCCCCCCCATTCACCACCCATCCACCCACCTACCCACTCGCCATCCACCAGCCAACCTCTGTCCTTCCATCCATACCAAAGACCTGCTCTGAGTCAGACCTGGGCTGGCCAATGTGTGTCAGACTGCAGTGAGGTGGTCTTCATTCTCAGAACTCACAGTCAGCTGGGGGGATATGGGGTCAGGAAACCATCCACAGCAGGGGGAGGAGGGTGAGAGCTGAGCAGCCCAGGGAAGGAGGGGCACCAGGACAAGGAGTAAGTCAGGTGGGAACTTCCGTGGGCTCTGGTCTCTGAGCCGTAAACCCCGCAGGACCTGGGACCCAGCACTCCGCAGGCCCTGAGCATCAGGGGCCAGGCCCGGCTGTGGCTGGGGTCCAAGTCTGCCCATTCCCTGGCCACCACCCTGCCCCAGCTCCCTGTCAGCGGTGCTCTGCTCCGGGTCCCAGCACCCGGCACGGATGGAGGTAGGAGGCCGTAAAGCGGTCCGTGGACTTGGTTGGGAAGGCCGCCATCCGACAGTCACCAGCCCACTAAGGCTGGCGTTTCCCTCCGTTGTGCACCTGAGCGGCGCCTGGGATGTGTTTCCGCACCCATCCTCACTGTTGCAGATTGTCTCAAAAGAGGCTCATGCTCGTGGCTCCCTCACCGTCGGGTGCTCCCTAGGCCCCTGCTCGCTGTGATGCAGGCAGGTGTGCGAGTGCCTGGGCCAGTCTGCTGCAGACCGCTTGTCTGAGTGTTTGGATCCCTGTCTCCGTATCGTTGACTTCGCTGGGTTTTTTATTTATTCTGCTTTTCTGGAAGGCGTGCATAAACACAGCTAGAAGCCGAAGACATCCACGGTGCAGCGGGCCTGAGAACCAACCTTGGCCTGAAGTTGACAGAAACCATCGGTACCAATAAGCAATCATAATTAAAACAAAATGAATAGATAATGCCTCTGCCCCCATCACTCCTGGTCAAACCCAGGGCCCCTTCGCTGCCCTCGAGCGAGGTGAGTTCACCTGCTTCTGGTGAGAGGTGCCCGCGGGGCCACATGGACACGGGGCCAAGACCAGCAGGCACCCCTTCGTCAGCTGCTCCCCGCTGTTGAGGGAGTGGCGACCACTCTGGCCTGGGGACCTCTCAGGAGCCAGAGGACCCCACCGTCGGGCCAAGATTGGAGGAGGGCAGAGTGTGCCTGTGGCTGGCGCCAGGACCCTCCACCACCTGCTCTCTGAGGGCACTTCCTGAGACCGGGAAGGCCCCGTGCCCCTGAACACACTGGGAGGCCTCGCTTAGCCCCGGGGCGCCCCACAGAGCCCTGCACAGGAAGGCAGGGGTGCGGCCTGGCCTCACCTCTTCCCAGCTGCTGACCTTGGCAGAGTTACTTAGTGTCTCTGGTTTCCTTGTCTGGACGAGACAGCCGCAGGTCTGACCTCGGAGCAAGCGGGCGGATGGAGGGCACCCGGCCAGCGTCCTTGGGGAGTGAGGGCTGTAACCTCTTCACGTTTCTGTGTCTCCACGGCCGCGAGGGCTGTGTCCCCGGGCCTGGCTCAGGCCCCGACCCAGGAGTTGCCAAGCCCAGTTCCGGAGCCTGGCGGGGGCCGCGGCAGGACCCGGTGTCAGACGCTGAGATGCAGGCGACAGCTTCAGTAAAGGTTTCCAGAGGTCACTTACAGATTAGAATAGAAAACCGTTTCTCTTTTCATCAGAGTCTTTTAATGCCATTAAGTGCTAAGAGGCAGGAAGGATTGGGTCTTGTTTGAGAGGACGCAGAGGTGGGGAAGGAGGGGGGCCTCTCGGCGTCCGGCCCGCACACGGCCTGTGTTCCAGCCTTGGTGACGGGCTGGGGGGCTCTGGGGGCGTTAGCTTCTTCTGAGGGAAAAGGGGTAGGGCGGCCCTTTTTGGTGCGTGGGGCTGGGCTCTCCGGCCTCGCTGTTCACAGATTGGGAGTCATCCGCTGCTTCTGTACCTGGGGAGGCGCCTGCGTGGTCAGCGGGGCGCTGGCCTGGCCTCGGCAGGACGGCCGCTAGGGGATTGTCCATCTGGACGCGTGTCACGAAGCACAGGACAAAAACTCGAGTTACAGCCGTTACTTCTGTGTGAACGACAAAGGCACCAAATCGAGACAGGCTTTTCCATGGGCTCGTCCGCGTGGAATAGAGGTCCAGGCCGCGTGTGGGGTGGGCGGTGGGTTGCGGCCCTGCCCTGGGGCTTGACCGCTGTCCCAAGCACCTGCCCCGGCTGGGTGGTGACGGGTCCTGGGGTTGGCTTGATTACTCATGGCATTTGGGAAAATGTTTTACCATTACCGTCGAGAATTTTTTTAAAAACGAGGCAGGAATTGTAGAATCGTTTCTTCAACATCTGCTCACTTTGACATCCCTGATGCTGTGGTTTTGAAGCAATGCAGTTTGGACAACTGACCAAACCCTTTAACGTTTCCTGGATCCTAGAGACAGCGGAGCACGAGGCTGTTGGGATCTCTGGTTTCGCGCTGGCCCCTGGGGGGGTCGTGTCCAACTCCCGCGAGTTCCTCTGAGGTTCACTCCACCTGACCAGTCGGGCGAAGGTTTCCCGTTCAGCGGGGGGAGAGGAGGCAGGCCCCCCCTGAGCCCTGCCGTGTGCCCTGACCACACAGGGGCCCCAGCTGCCCGATTCTCCTTCGGGACCCTGTGGGTGGGTGGGCGCGGTCTCCTGGGCGTGGCCATCGCATTTGGGGAGCGAGGCTGACCTCTGACAGTGCATTCTGGATGCAGTCCCGTGGAGATGAGGGTCCCACGCTCCACCTCCCCCCCGCCTGTGTCCTGCCCGTTTGGTCCATCCGACAGCCACATTTAGGAAACTTAACGACCAGGCCGCCCTTTGGCACGGCCCGCGGGTCAGGCTCCGGTGGCCGGCCAGGCCGCGTAGAGGCCCTGGTTCCTGCCTCGGGGATCTCGGGACACTCCTCGAGGGAAGTGTGCAGAAAGCAGGCCCACAGGACGTGTCCGGGCGGACTCACGTTTCCTGACGCGAGGAACAGCCAGGGTCTGCCGTCAGCTTGTTTTTGTGTCTGACGCAATGTGTGCGGTATGATTCCGTTTCTGTGGAGACCCAGACTGAGAACCCCGTGGATCCCGGCATGGACATGGTCTGGAGGTTGGGAGCTGTCACCCGGACGGCAGGGCCACGAAGGGTCATGATTTCCTCCGAAGGCAGATTTTTTCCATTTCCCCGGGTGACCGGAGCTGGTTGCTCCGCATGAGGTGAGGGGTGGGGGGGGTCTGTGCCCCGCGCTGCCGCAGCCCCCACATGCCGTGCGTGTTCTCTTGCAGCGACATATTCGACGCCATGTTCCCCGTCACGCACATCGCCGGGGAGACCGTCATCCAGCAAGGTATGTTTCCTGCTTCCCTGAGCCAGGGCACCGGGCCATGGGCTTCCCGTGAGCACAAGGCCCGCCCGCCCGCGAGAAACGTCACGGCTCTCTGCACGCCAACCCCACGTCTCCGTAACTTTCCACCAGGGAAGCTGGACCCTGAGACGGGCCAGGCGGGGACCACGGGGGCCCCACCACACACGGAGCATGGGGGGCCGCGCGAGGGGAGCGTGCCCCTGTGGGTCAACCCTCGTGTCGTGCGTACAAATTTTATTTAACAAACAAGACGTACCCGGCGAGACCCAGGGACCTTGGCCTCTGTGAAGCTGGGGCAGGTCCAGCTTCCGGGGGGACGGAAGCGTGGCCCCCGGTGCCCTTCGCGGTGTGCACAGCATGTTTCTCTCCTTACAGGGGACGAAGGAGATAACTTCTACGTGATCGACCAAGGAGAAGTGGACGTGAGTATCTCTTCCCTGCCTGGTCCGCAGTCTGGTCAGCCCAGGAGCGCGTTTCATCCGAAGGCCGGTGTAATGCACCTGAGCATTGCGCGAGTAAGAGGGTGTGCGCCCACGGACGGTGGTCCCCAGGGTCCCCAGCGCTTCGCAAAGCGGCAGGCAGCCGAGTGTTTACAGACCCCAAGGCCCTGGACAGCCTTCCTCCTGTTCCCGCTCACCTTCCTCTGTCCACCTTGCTGGTCCAGGGCTAAGGGAGCCCCCACCCATTGTGGACCTGTTGGGCATGGCACAGACACACCCCTGCAGCCACCCACCCCCCCCACTCAAGTGGTGAGGGCATCCGTCCCTCCCTGGGTCCCCAGGCTGCCGTCCACACCGGGCCTGGCAGACAGCGTCTCCAGGAAAGCCTTCGAATGGCCTTCTCTCTGACTCAGGCCCAAGTCCCTTATGTGACCAGACGATGGGCCCGCGCCCCCCTCCCCCCCCCCACAGTGGCTCTGTCTTGCTTCCTGCGGTCCTGCTTCTTGGGGCCCGTGCCGCCCCACAGCGGTGCCCTCTTGCTTCCTGGGGTCCCACTTCCTGGGGTCCCGCTTCTTGGGGCCCGCACCCACCCCAGTGGCAC